TCTATTTTTGAACTCACGTGCTACACCTGTACTATACGGTCGAGTAAGTGCGTACTTGTACAGAACACTACTCACAGATGGAACAGTAAAATTAAAAGTTACATGAGGCAACGTTTTTCGGAAGGGCAGCTAAGTCACATAAAATGCTTGACTGAAGTGCATGGATGATAACTTAAGCCTCAACTACTATCTCACATATGTAATTATAAAACAGCTATCTCACATAGGAGTTGATGGTGACAAACCAAGCATTTGATCGTATCAAACCTGGACCCTGCTCCTACGCTTGGCTTGATGTGATAGGAAAACGCATAAGCTTGATCATGTCAAGTATAGTTAAGATCTTGTTGATGCCTTTGCGAACTCCATGCTCATATGTGCAGGCACATACTCCGACTGGCAGTCTGTACCAGATTTGGTTGTACCTGTTAAGGAAGAAGTTCAAAGACATAATGGTCCTGGACTTGCGTTATGTCACCTAATTCTCTTTGTTTCGTGCAGCTTATTAGATGATATTTCCTACTTTGCACAACGGTGAAAGCATGTGAGTTCCTTACAATCGCTTTGAGGAGCAATTTAAGTATCGATTCACCACCATATTGACCAACAAACAAGTGATCTATCATCATCATGGTAAGTATCGCAGTAAATGATCACCGATCACTAGCTCGAAGCGGAGCATCATGTTTACGATATCCAGTGCCGCAAGCGTATGATCTAAAACCTAATCGAAACATTGGGTAATACTATACAGTGGATGAAAAGCTATTTTCTACCAGAACTTCTTATGCCGAGCAACCTATACCCACAGGTTGGGAATCTGTACAACAACACCCACTCAGGTACGAAATTTTCGTGTAGTACTGTGGCTGCACTCATCTGCGACTACTGTACAGCAATAGATGGTAACCCAAAGTGTTACTGACACAGTAAATCTACAAGGAATCACGTAATAATGGCATTCTGTGACACCAGCCGCATTCTTGCATTCTTTCAGATTAATGCTGAGCGGTCAGATGCTACATTACACCCAGATTGAGTGCGGCCTACTGGCACTCTGAAAAGCGTTCAATAGAATCGTGTAACAGACACTGACGACTACGTTGAAAGACGTTTCGTGTCACCGAGTGGAGTAACTCACAACACACAGAAGAGAACAACGAAGACAAACAACAATGCCCCCTAACTGATGGTTTGGTGGGATTTGACAACAGCATGAAGGGATACGTCGGAACACTTGCCATGCAAACTGCTGCCCTGCTCACCAGTTTGTCGGAAGTCTCCAGCTCAGACTTTAATTGCTCCACTTCCAAATCCAGGTCAGAGGTGCGCTTTTTGTATTGCAGCACCTGCGCAGCCGGGGAAGGCAATGAGCAGGACCGATAGCATATGGATTCACGCTCATTTGAAACATGGATATGCCAAAAGTAACATAATTGCCAAATTAGGTTTTTACTCTTTCCCTATCTCTCCGCAGCTAAGATCACTTTACAATTTAATAACACCCTTTCATTCAGACCTCAATGAACTTATGGTTAAGAGTCAGTGAGCATCATGAGTGCGTCAATTCCCATTTAGAAGACAGGGTCTTGTCTTGGTAAAAACAAAGATCCGCAACCGATCATCTGCTTAAATAGCCGAATGGAAAAACTGCACAGTTTATTTGCCGGAAATCCTGTTGTACGAAAGCACTTGAAATACTAACAGCTCGGGAGGTTTCTTTAGTTGTGTTAGTCTTCCCCGTGTTGAGTAACTTGATTGCAGATGTTTCATCTACAATCGAGTTGACATCAGCAGTGCAGGAGTGATAGAAGGTTTGTAGAGGGAAGTGTGGGAAGACAAGTCCCAGGACTGATCTATCCTTGGATGAATTCCATTTGCAGGTTTGCCTTCCCCTAACTCCTGTTGCGTATCTAATATCACTTTTGCACTGATGACCTCGCCTCGAATGTTTATGGAACGTCTGCAGTCAAGTTTTTTAGCTCAGCGAAAACCACACCAACTGAACCCTGACAGTAGTTAGTACTATGTGCAAATGGCCGGAAAATAAGAAGAAGCCAGCAGATGTCGCGTTTTACTAGTGTATGCAAATTGATCATTCGGAACACAGTATTGTTAGTGTAGGTCATTGGAATGACCGAAATTAGTTTAGCTAGGGCTTTAGAGGTGACTATCCGCACGTCGGTTCCAAAGTACCTGACGATACCCGATGAGACGTTAAGGCAGGAGGCGCAGATATAAGAAATTTCTGTAGGTCCTACCGAATATGCATGTCTGGTTTGGGATTTCGCTGTAAATTACGAGTATGATATGGTCACACATCAGTAATACATCAATGCTCTACACTGATGCATAGTTTTCATGGGTCCGCGATTGTGTACAGTCTGGTATACCATAGTGGTATCCAGATCTATGCGAGAGCCTTCGCGAGACAAATGCTTGGTGGACCAAGCTAGATGTTTGGATTTTGTTAGCTCCTCAGCTGTTTCCATTTTATCACCTCAGACCATGTTCAATGAAGTCTTAACGAGCAAAAACACTGGCGTACAAATGTGTGAAGTAAATGCACAGCAAAGAGCCTGCATCGAAATGTACGAAAGGCAGATGCGACTGTAAAGTCTGCACCCTGGTACTGATGGGCTTTCGCTAGTAAAGTTGTACAGTACCAATGGTTACTGGTAATCTATATACAGCATTGATGCACTTCCAAATGTTAGTCTCTATGGTGTTACCAGGAGATGGCAGCTGTTAGCGATCACTATGTGAGCCTCCTCGCCGCAAACTTCTGGAATCAGTTCCTGTCTGTCTGATCATCTCCTCCAATACTCATTGTTTGACCATAACCATCGAAAAAATGTAAAACTACAGTACACACAGAAGCACAGTGAAAGTAAGTGGTGCAAAGCTTACTTCGACTGACTGTTGACTGTGGTTTTAATATTTGACTCAGATTTTACTCGGATAAAATAAACTTTAGGTTAGAACATGGAAGACACGATCAGTAAGTTATAGATCGCCACCCTCTCATAATTCTGACAACAGGAATGTCAACTCGTTTCGCAATTATATCTTAGATATCTGGATAAGTTGGAAACTTCCCTCTTTAATCACATCATAAGTACACATCGACGTGCATAGTGGTGGAACAATTGTGGAAGTCTGATGGCAGCAGTTGGACTGCTCATATTTCTTGTACAGCCGCTTTCGTCTGGCTGCCAGTCTGAAGCTATGTACATTGTCCCGGATCACAATGCGTTTCGGATTAGTGTTTTCGCCGTCCTACCCATGGATCAGAGTTTAGCCACTATTGGCTGGCAAACCAACCCCGTTCGCGTGCGGCGATGGATGCTGAATCTGGTTGCTTAAGCCTAAGACTTGTGACAAATGCCACATCCCTTACAAAGCAAAGCAACTCGGCTCAACTCGATGGCAATGAATTTTGCTAGCTAAATATACCCAAGGATTACTACGAAATCTACTCAAACTTCGCATTTAGACGCTCATATATGAACTCATTAAGGAGTGTAGGGTGCATACAAGTAACAGGTTATATGAATATTGAACAGCTTTTGTATCCTTTAATAAATTATCAAATACGATGAAGAGGTTTGTCGTTTAGTAGCGCACAATCATACTACTAGTATCAATAACCTAAGCGATCAAGCATAATAACAAATAACAGTTGCGAAATAAGTGCAAGCGTTTCTTGAAACCATCGACTATATTTGCATTACTTCTTCGAAAAAGGTTCAACAGCCCATTTGATATGTGACGGCAATCTTGCAGTGTTTTAGCAAAGTTTCAAATCGAAAATGCTCCGCAGATTAAGAAACTTGTTTTTAAAACGAACCATTCCACTGCGTAGGTCAAGTGCAAGTAGGTTACAACCATGAGCTGAAAATCCCGACGTCATGAAGATGTACCCACTCCAAGCTGCGACCATAGCTGCTACATTCTTCCGTCTTGAATGGTTTTTAGCATTACAAGAAAACCCAAACGCGGAATGAATAGGCGTGTTCTGAAGCTTCCATTGAATAACTGACATCTAACTCCGATCTCCCCTGCTTTTCCATTGCTTAAACTTACTTTAAACAGACAGCCATACCTCTTCTAGTTCTTTGAATGTGCATTGTCGAACTTCTGTGTGTACCAGCCTTGATTACGCCGAAAATTTACCAATCAAATGAACGAGCTATCCTGTAATCTCGCTAAAGCTGCATCTACACATCCGAAAGCTGAGACACAGCTAAGGATGAATATCACGAAATAACTGCCATATAATTTGCCTTGCTGACTGTGGATCCAAATAGTGTTTCGGAGGCAACAAAACTGAGTTTACAAGGTTGTGTAACAAATTTCGATTCCTAATTGAGATTGCCGTAGAATACCATACAAGTATCGAAATGTTAACCGGTACACTGAAGGTCAGGCCCTAACCCTCTCAGCTGGATGGACTCTACACGTTCATGCACGTACGCACACACACAAATCTCATCGTGTCTCCAGTGAATGCATGTCGAGATGTCCCGTCAGACGTTGTCTACGCAGTGCTCTGTCCAGACTTGTTTTCCCCTCCCCTAGGAGTCCGAGCTCTACAGAACATATACTCTTTAACGTTTACTTACCGTGACTAATACGTATCACCTGTGACACTGGTTACTATGCCTGTATTCAAAAGTTATAGCAAAATTTCTAAGAGCTGCACGCCATAATTACTCATGAAGGAAGTGGTGGTCGAAAGCGGAACTTAGTTATACATATACGCCGTGCGCATACCAAGCAGACACTTCCTCTAAAACCATGCACCCATTTGGCTCAAGAATCTGCCAATCGCATAGTGAGCGACCGTACTTAATTACTTGAGGAACTAGTGTGTCAGGTATTTGGAGTAATTCACAAGTAGCATGACCAACATCACTCAAAGTCGTTAACAGGTGTAAACGTTTATCACTAAACTTTTCACTGCTCTGGATGGTAGACTGATAAGAGTGAATGCTTACCTTCGCCTGCAATTTTTGTATCAACAGGGCTTGCTTTTGTTGTCCCTCCTGGTATGCGGCCAGTTTGCGTCGATAACTGTTGGCCTCCTCCTCCGCCCTGGATGGGGCAGTCGCGCCCATCCCGTTGTACTTTTGCTCCAACGTGATTGCGGTGTCGTACGCATGCAGCTTTTCGGTGCTATCATGTGTCACTGGCGTCCCACCGTCCCGTTCTGAACTGCACAAAGCTTCCAGCTGAGACGGCTCCACGCCAGCCATTTGAAAGAATCGGTCGAGACTGAGTTCATCTGCTGCGCTGGTTGTCTGAGCCTGAAGACTGTCCTGCTTTGGTGTTTTAAAGATAGAACAAAGAAGTTGCTAACGTCGACTGTGATAACATTCTATAAGGAAATAAGGCATTTAACAAAAGATACAGAAGAAAATGCTCGAACACAAATTGGTTTGCTTACGCAATGACGAGTAGTCAAACACTCGGCACTAGGTAATGCAACTGTAGTGCGGTTAGTCGATCCAATGTTCCGAACAGTGAAAACGTTGAAACTCTCGTATTAGGGTGGCAGGTAAAATTTCTGACGGTTACCATTAAGCAGCGCTAATTGGTACCATACACGTATTGTCTGCCGTGCTGCTTAGTCCATTTCGTAATATGGGGTGAATTCTGCTGTTCCGCTTTTGCAGTGGCGTGAGCCAGAATGGTGCAAATGGCGGTTTCTGCATTTGGCTGATAACATCAGTTCTGTGTGATACCAAATTTAATGGCTTAAAACAGATTCACTCTTCTGTCAGCAATTTCGTCCGTCAGGATTCACACCCTAAGACTACCCTTGAGACCTATCCCCACGTGTTCCACCAATCTTCAGATTGTGCTAGCACGCGGTCAATCGTTTAGCCTGTTGTATCTACACTTGCAGCGCTTATATGGGGAGCTAGAACTGAACGGTGATTTTCTACCACTTACACTGTGGATTTACGTCGCGCTTAGCAGTGAAATGGACGGCCCAGATAAAACGCGGAGTGGAATTTGACAAACGAAGCACCACATCTTGTTGTTGGCGGCAGTAACCCGGTTCCAGCTCATAAGATGCTTCCAGCTTGATAGTGAACGGGTGTGTAATCAGGACATTGATGTGACTTGGATGCGTCGTCTGAGCTGCATTCTCTGAGAAACAGGCTTTTCTATGCCGCAGTTCCCTGTACCTCGGAGGTGTCAAAATTGTGTGTGCAAAATATTTCAATTAGTTCGCAGTCGGCATATCTGTTTCTAAGTGATTCAACCCATAATACCTTTAGTAAAGTGTCAGAATCGCCTCCTGGATCGGGGCAGAAATGTGTTTGAGTCAGATTGATTTGTCTTATATACGAAATAAAATTAAGGGCTATTATGGTTGGAAAACATTTACTGCAACATGTGCGAGTCACTTCCAATCGCAAGCGATGTACGAAGAATCATTTTTCGACACAAAGCGTTTTTTGTGTAGCATTATCCTTCGGAAGTACAAGACAAGCAGAACTACTTGACCTCAGGGCCGCACAGTACAGTATTGACGGGAACCCGCATGACTGAAACGACCAGCCGAGACCCACAGTACCGAATTGAGGGCAACTAACCGAATGGTCTAAGTGAGCCCTCACTAAGTTGCATGTGCTTAACTACTAAAGAAATGACGCACTTGTGCTGCAGAGATAAATTTACCGTACGTCTTATCTGAAAGGATATGAATTAGGTCTTGTGACTGCAGTGACTGGGTTTCTTCAGTGCAAACCACCTTTCCGACCCAGATAATTTATGATGCTGCAGTCATTCCGTGAATAAACACATCAATATGAAGCACGCAGTGAATAATAATAATAATAATAACAATATAATAATAATAACAGGTGTATTTCTCATCACTATGTGTTGAAGTCACCGTACTGTTGCTTTGTTACCGCCATTGTTAAACCCATTCGTCACACCTGGCGATTACGAGGCGCAACTTTTCCGAAGAACTCACTAATCGTGCAAACTTAAGACCTCATTCATTCATTTAATTAATAAGGGTCGCTGGAGTAGGTCTAATTATTCTGCGTTGCGAAATATCACGAAGTAAAAGCTGTGTCATTTTTAGAAAGAAAATGCCCACCGGGCCTTTTTACCAATTACCTAAACAGTTTCAGAAAACCCAGAGGAACCGAAACAATGTCCACCAAGTTCGAAAATGTCCTCGTAAAATCCTATCCACTAGGCTCGCGGAAAAGTACTATGCCATCTCTCTGTGTCTCTACTGTGTAAACCGATCAAGCCACCCTGAGTAGACTGTTTCTGTTTTCCATCGGAAGATAGACAAATCTAATAATGACCGTCTATCATTTTGTAGACATACACTAATGAACAATGGAGCACAAATGGGCGCGAATATCCGGTTTGGTGTGCTGCTTGGGAAACAGAAGTTATACTAAAACCATTCACAACGTCATGTGTATACATTTAGCTACCAGAAGGAAGCTAAACTATTAGGGGACATACTGAAGCCCGAAAAATGCAGCCTCGAATGCCTAGACTGCATAAGCTCTCATACATCGTAATAAAAGCGCCCAAAGTAGTATTGATTAATCAAATAGGAAAATGACGGTAACCATTTGTTGTTCTTAAAACGGTCGGCTGTGCTTAAGATAATAGAAGAGGGGGCTTGTGGGTCCATGTTATTGTCATAGGTGCATGGAGAGCTGCCATGGTTGGCAGCATCCGGTTTCGGATTTGCCTGTCACTGTGGCCAGCCACAGGACGCCTGCGCCTACAGAGGGACCACAAGTGGCTTGCGCTGCACCACACACAGCTCCAACCCCATTCGCCATTTTCAGTGTAAACCCGAAGCAATAGGACCGGGAGGCATGCGGATGGGAGCCACGTTTCCTCAATGGAGTCGGCTCACACTCCTTCACAGGCAAACACAATCACGCTGTATTTGGAGAATCAAGCGCACACAAGGCGGTGGCTGGATCGTAGTCCGCTCCACACTGAGTGCATGGAACCACTCTTCGAGTCTAGCACGACCACAAGGACCGTGCACCCCGTCCCCTCCAGCAACGACCAACTGTCTCCTGGAGCCAGTATGGACGAGGTAGTGGGTAATAGACAGGTAGGCTCCTTGTCAACAAGCACATCAAGTACAGCCACACCTGAGATGTCAAACAACAGCCAATCATTCGAAATGCCGATATCAAATAAAAGATATCAAATAAACTAAACCTATCAGACGACATAAATGCTCGCTAAATGAGCACATGGAGTAAATTGGTTATAAGCGAATCCGCGATAAGTACAAAATGTTCAAAAGTTATTTAACAATTACCACGCAAGGTTACCACAATTAGCATGAGCGAAGTGTGCAAATTAGGAGAAGATTATCAAGTACCAGAACCAACCAAATAAAGTGGAATAACTTTTATCAACATTAGAAAGACTTAGTTTAAGTGTGAGTTGCTTTAGCCCAACAGCTGTGAGGAAGCATCGTAACTGCTACATCAGGCTCAGCATGGAGAGCTGCCATACATAGCCTTTAACGAAATCAGTATCCAAGCTACTTATAACTGTGGAGAGCCACAGGACATCTATGGATACGAAGGGACAAAGAGTGGCCTACCCACGGCAAACCGAGATGCTAACGACACAAGTGATATCCAGTGCAAGACCATGATAGTAAGACCGAGGGCGCGTGTATGGAAGCCACAGATGCAACGAAATTAATGCTAGCTGCTCCTATATGTATCAGCGTACGAAACCGCATCGTAGAACTTCATGATCCGGAAGAACCGGGAGGATAGTGGTTTAAGCAACCACAAAAAATCATCCGTACTTTCAATAGTTTGATACTCTTGCCCCATGGTTTCTAACCTCTGTAGTTGGACATATGTATTTAACCGAAAGCGAAAGTACTACACATCTGTAATACAATGGATCTGGTCGTGTGGGGTCTGCTGCTCGCAACGTTTTAGTTATTTATTCATCATTCGATCGTTATGTAAGATGTTGTGTATTCGACGAAATTCTTATTCTGACGGCGAACTAAACCATGTATTCAAAGAAAACCTTTAACACGGATTCCACTTATCAGATGCTAAGTAGGCTGATGTTTTTAATGAGCCGTCATGCCAATGCGGTAAAAATTGACACAGTGATCAGGGCCAACATTTATGTCAAATGCTTCCGAGAGATGCGAACATGCGATTCTCGTTACTCGTTACGATCTGGTAACAGGCCAGCAGACAAGGGTATCGTTTACATAGCATACGCGATAATCAGTTTCCCACTAGTTTAACGCAACGGGAGTGAGCTACTGGCCATGGTGCTATAGTACACACCGGTTAAAGCTTTCTGAAAACGCTCTGCATATGGAAGCTATAATCGAAATGCCACTGATGGACTATCCAGACAGTTGCACAGTCAGTGCTAGTTTTCAGAACGTAGCAAATAACGCGAAAACAAGAATAAGAGTTACGCTCATCGATCCGGACTACGTGTAATGTTGACACGACGTCTATTTTTCTTTGAATCTTATGATTCGCTGTGTTGCCCACAATCCGAATTGCACGTCAAAAGAGTTATCTTACACACTCAACAGCTCTTTAGTTCCTTGTCTCCTAACAAATCAAATCGTTCCCTAGGAGGTAGTCGACAACACTGAGTTATTCAACTTGTGGCTGCAGTTGAGTAATGCTGTCTCCGGCCCCCAAGGATATCACCCAGATAAGTCGGCACGAGTATGAACTTCACGCGGCATACTCCCTTTGCTCAAGTAAGCACCGGTCAATTTAACTCAATTGTGCCGAGGAAAGATAATCGAAAAATCATTGTTGACGCTGGGTAGATATCGGGGTCATTTTACTCCAAGCACTGAACTTCATGACTGGTTTACTCTTGTTTGAATTGTTTGGATTAAGGTAGTCGGAATTGAGATCTAAACCAATAACACTCCTTCACATTGGGAGCAGTTATTTTCATGCTGAGCTATTGAGTTCCTTGTTTTAATCTTTGCAAGCATGGATTGCGGCCAACGTTCCAAAAGTTGTGCCACCGTTTCGATTCGAACTCTGCGTGCTTCGGAGCATTAGGTAAAAATTGGGAGACCGTTCAACCGGCATCTTTTCACTGTTGTTTTTCACTAACGGTGTTTGCCTTTCGCTGGACTGTGTAACATTGTTGCTAGAGAGCTTTTGCCTTTTAACTGGTCGGGGATTCGGGTACGTAATGTGCGAATCCGCAACTCGAGTTCTGGGATTTTCCCTCCGAATACCGCAAGCAGTTCCTTTTGATCTGCCGACGTAACAGCTAACTTTTCACA